TGACTAAGCATTTAAAGAATTTAGGGGAAGCATTTAAATAATCCTGTGAATGCACTTAAAGAATGCAGAATCGAATTGTTAATCGAATCGAATCTAATTTAATTGTGAATCGTATCGAATTGAATCGTTCTGAATTTGCATAAATCGTTCTTGAATCGAATCGGAAACTTATGAATCGTGAATCGAATCGATTCGCTGTCTACCCAAATATTCACAGCCCTATTTAGCATGTTTCTATGTAGTTGTTAGGTTTTTCTGAGTGGCGTTTCTATGGCAGAAAGGTCTTTATGGTGGTAGGTCACTGTCACATATTGTGTAGTAACTGTAAATAACTGTAAAACTTTATTAAATGAATTGTCAACTAAAACATAATAAAGCATAGAAAACCTAGGTCATATGAGTGACTAAACGGCTTAGAAATGCAGATGGCTCTCACATACAGTACAGCATCGCTGTTAAAATACAGCAGTTGCTTGCAGACATAGAAAACGATCACATGACTGTAGATCAGATACATGCAGCACATATCTGATTAATTTGAAGCGTAAAACAAACATGCGGCGCTGCGTCTCCATCAAGTCAACATTCACCCCTCAAAGCATGAGTGAAAACCACAGCGACGGCGTGTCAAGACTTCACTTCTGAGAGAAACCAAGCAGCTTCCAGACTCGCAAAATCAGACACCAAGAATTTTGATTGAAACGCTGTCATGGGCAAAGAGAGCATATTTACACAACTCGAGGTGTTTATGCTTTCAAAACTTCACTTTAGTCCTCCGGAAACTCCCATCATGCATTAGGTTTTTCTTTTTTCAATTTAGCCTTTATTTAACAAGGCAAGTCACTTAAGAATGCATTCTTATTTACAACAATAGCCTTTCTTTGTCATTTAAATTAAAAAAAATTACAGAAAAGAAGAGGAACTTTTTTCAACGTAAAGCATTTAGCTATTTGCCCAAGATATTTATAAATCCATGGACATAGATGAACATCCAATTAAAGGTTTTTGTTAACATGTCATGATTTCCACAAAGATAAAGGAATGAGGAGGTGAATCAAAAAGATCAGTGAGTCTCAAGAACACACACACATACACACACACAAACATACACACACATATATACACACACACACACAAACATACATACACACATATAATTAAAAAAAATTTTTAAATAAAAGTTAAATTAATATTAAATTAATTTAATGTTTTAATGTTGTAATTTAACATTTTTTAAATTTTTTTTTTTTAGTTTAGTATTTTTTTATTATTATTATTATTTTAAGACAGTTTGTTTGGCCCTGTTGATCACGAGTGTTGTAAATTTGCAGGGGGAAAAATCATTTATTTTTGTCCTCTGAAAAATCCCATCATGCATCATTGAATTCATTTCGACCTTCTGTAAACCTTTTTTTCTTCCTTTTGAAACGGAAAAAAATGAATCCAAGAAAGCGAGCGTTTCCGAACTTGGCAGTTTTACCCATTTGCCCTTGCTTTGAACAGATCTGTGGTCACGAAGGTGCCCGTTTACACAACTCATATCATCCAATTTCATGTTTTGAAACTGGTGCATGATCTACATATTATTCCTGGTTTGAACCTTTCAGTATTCGGTTCATCCGAACGAAAAGCGGGGAGTTTTTAGCCATCCGTCCTGGACCGTTACAGATCGGCGGCCACAAAGGTGGCACCGCAGAGCCACTCCAGACAGTGATAAGGGCTCAGATACACAGCGGGAGCTGTTTTCTGCTAGTGTCTGGCATTCTTTCGGCAAGCCGGCTCGTTAAGAGACAGCACAGCAGTGGAGCTTTTATTCGGCTTCTCACAAATTCAGCTGACATTTTAGAAGATCCATACGAGACCTTTCAGCGAGAAGGAGAGGGCGAGAAAGAAAGAAAGGGTAATGCAAAGCTCGGAGGGGATGGTGTGAAAAAGAAGAGCGCTAGAATCCGAAAAGGGAAAGCGAAGGAGCGAATCAGAGGTGTGGAAATTCATTAGCGGCCCTCGAATGAAGACAATCGCAATTATCAAACTCCTCCTCAGCCTCGCGGATCCAAATAAACTTCGTCATTACGGACCGAGCGTCCTGTCACGTTTTTGACGATCGGCTCCCTTGGGGAGACTGTGAGACAACAGCTACGAGACAGATAATGCATTTCAGCGCCTCCACATCGTGAAGATGCTTTTCTGAGATGGAAGGCCACAAGGGAGGCTTTAAATGTAGACCGTATTTTTTCCCCCCGCCGTGTCCCGTGGTGCCATATGGCAGAGAGATGTGAAACTGCTGGTCTGAGGGAAGGAAATCAGTCAAACGCAAAACAGACAGCATCTGTTCCTCGCTCGGTGAGCTCCTTCCCGTCAGACGACTGCAGAGAACTGTGACGGCCCTCTGTGGCCCACATTAAAGACTTGTTCAAGAAATGAAAGGAAAATTTAAACATTTACTCACTCCCATGCCGTTTTTGATGCTCGCAAAAAGAGAAATTGCAAATAATGTCCTGGTCGCTCTTTTCCATGCAGTTACAATGAACTCCTGAAGGTGACCGGCCTGCTTTAGATATTGTAAAGACATATTATATTTATTTTGGATTCTATATATATTTAAATATAATAAATTTGTAAATACAATTTACTAGTTTTGTGCTGTAAAATGTGACGATCAAGCTGAAACAGAACTGACGTATGGTTTAAAACAGCGGACTGAGGTTGACCCTATAGATGCAACTCATCTTCTATGTCTCTCTCTCTCTCTCTCTCTCTCTCTCGCTCTCTCTCTGTTAGCTCCCTGCACATCTTCATCATTACCGGATCACCCCTCATCTTCCTCGTCGCTCACTACCATCTGCATCTCTGATTCAGATCAAGAAAACGAACCAGCCACCCCCAGCACCCCACAAACTCCACACACACGTCCAAACCTACAGGCCAGTCCGGATGTGGCAGAAACACACATGGATGAATCTCAAGAAACGCAACGAAAGAATGAGTTCAGCTCACAAACTCTCTTCAGCGGTGATCCAGGTCTGTTCCAAACACACTGCCGCCACATTCAGGAATTTTCACTCAGATGTTAAAGAAATAATTCACCCTAAAATGTCAATTCTTATCATTTACTTTAGATCAACCGATATTGTTTATGAGTGATACTGGTTGTTTTTAAGTGTCAAATAACCAGTATGAAGAACCAACACTAAACTAAAGCACTCGTCACTAACTTCTGAAAGTGAACAGTCCGTTTATTATTATATAGAATATTGTGTTGAATAATAATTTAATTAAAAAAAGAAACTAAATAAATGCCTGTGAATGCATTAAATATTAAAATACAAATAAAATCAAATAAGCAAGCAATATTGGATATCAGTCAAAAAAAGTTATCAAGCAGTTATCGTTTTTTTTATGTACTGTAAAAGCTGATAACTGTCTGCCTTTTTTTACCGATATTTGATATTCCTGTAATTTTCACCTTAAAACTTGTATGACTTTTTTTTTTTTCAAGCTAATTTTTTTTCCATACTACAAAAGCAATTATTTATGAGACATTTACGAGATATTTCAGCACCAATTATACAGAAACATATAAATAAATACATTTTATTATTTAAAAAAATATGTTTAAAATATATTCATAATTTTTGTGTATATTTAATCTTTAATATTATTTTTAAAATTATTACTTTTTTAATAAAATAAATAACATTTTATTTCATATATAATTTGTGTAATTTAACAGTTATAATTTAATATTTTATATTATTAAAAAATATATTTAAAATATATTCATAATTTTATTTGTATATTTATTAATCTTTTATATCATTTTTTTAAATGATTACCTTTTAAATAAAAAAATACTATCTTATTTTATATATAATTCATGTCTAATTTAACAGTTATTATTTCATATTTTATATTATTAAAAATATATTTTAAATATATTCATAATTTTATTTGTATATCAATCTTTTATATTATTTTTAAAATGCTTACTTTTTTAATACAATTTAATTTTTTTATATATTTATGTGTCATTTAACAGTTATTATTTAATATTTTATATTTAAAAAATATTATTATTTAAAAGAAATGAATACAAATTGCCATAAAAGCTGGAGATTATTCAAGTAATATAATTATACATAAACTCCAAGACAGACCTTCGAACCTGAACGGACTTTCTTTTTGTCAAAGTTTTCTTTTTTTATAAAGTTACAAGACATGAAATTTCGGTGTCATTGAATCCGAAAAGCAGCAAAGAGCAGCTTGCACCTTTTGCGAAATATCTCCCGCTGCGTTCTTTAAGAGAAAACATCAGCCTTCGATGATCAAAATTACCTTCTAAGAACAATTTCACAGTTGCGTCACTGCATCTAAGAGCACGTCTGCGTGAAATATGGATAATAACAGGCCTTTTCAAAGCCAGACAATCGACAAGCGTTCACCTTTCTTAGAAAGAGTGCAATTTTCAGACACTGCAGGGTTTGTCTTAACGCCCACCTTTACGACACACACGCACAGAATCCCAGCAGCATACAGTAAGCATAATGGCTCTTTAATAACACGTTGTGATTGGCCAGCCGGCGACGGCTCGGCTATTTTAGACCGCAGTAGGGTTCTGGTAACTAAGCCTCGTGGGGCATCTTTGCAGCGAGCCTGACCCAAATGAATGTAGAACAACTCTGTTCGACGAAATCCAGACGAATCCGATTTCTCCGAACAGCGGGATCGTTTGAGGTCACGGCGTACCTGCTGCATTCCAGTGTTCGTTAGCGCTCGTGTCACCTGACCTTTATCAGGAGCATAATGATCATCCGCTCCTCTCGTCCTCTCATTGCCCTGCTCTCTTTTTTCTCCTCCTATTAGTCACTCCGACTTTCCCATCATGACTCTCTTTCTCTCTCTCCAATAGCTAATGACATTCACATTCAAAAGGAGTCGGATGACTCTGTTCCCGTGTACGACTCTCTGAAGTTCTGTGCCAGCAAAAACACCGACAGGATCTACATCTACGACAAGGTATACAGTGTTAAGCCCCGTTCACACCAAGAACGATAACTATGAAGATAACTAAGCATTTTATTTGACTCTTGACATTTCCTGTGCATTGTGAGTTTTAATAGTGTATCTTGCCATCAAAATGGCACCTTATTTCTGTGAGTCAGTTCTATTGAATCGTGTGTTTCAGTGAATCGAATCAAGTGTTTGATTCAGTTCTTTTACTGAAAAAAATGACTGTACTTGCTCAGTTGTGCTCCTTCCTGCAAAAAAATGATCTCTATGAAGAATTTCAGTCCGGTTTCAGGCCCCACCATAGCACAGAAACTGCACTTGTTAAAATTACAAATGACTTGCTTCTTGCGTCAGACCAAGGCTGTATCTCATTGCTAGTTTTACTTGATCTTAGTGCTGCGTTCGACACTATAGATCATGACATACATCCGGATGCGTTTGTCGACAGTGACATTGTCGACACAATTCTTAATGTAGCAGAATACTGTTGATGTGTACTCTTCCAAATCCTGATTATCAAAGACATCCCAATAGGTTCTTTCGAAGCAGTCTTGGAGCTGAGAAGAGGCTCCTTCTGGCCATTTTTTCACAATCTTGGTAGTGGTGGGAGTTTTCCTTCTTAAAGGGGTGTATGCTGGGATTAAAAACACCGAAAGGTGGTCTGACTGTCCTAAATGAGGCAGTGGAATTGACCTGTAGCCTTTCTTGACATTTGAGTACACGTTGTCCAAGATGTTTTCCCCCCTTGTTGCACATTTGATGTGCTGATGGAATTTGGGAAGAACCCTTTTTAAGTCTGCATGATTAAAATCCCCTGCTATGATGTGAACGGCGTCAGGATGAATAGTCTGATTGGAGTTTAAAGCGTGCAGCAAGTAGCTTTGAGCTGTGTTAGCGTTAGCGTCAGGTGGGATGTAAACAGCGAGGCAGAGGCAGATAGAAGGGCCTGCATTTAACAGTTAAGTATTCCAAGTCGGGAGAACAATTACTGTCTATGATGTTAGCATTGGTGCACCAGTCCTCGTGTATGTAAATGCAGAGGCCGCCACCCTTGGTCTTACCGGAATCTTTGTTTCTGTCCCAGTGGAATGCTGTCCGTCCAGCTATCTCCATAGCGGCGTCAGGTATGAGCGGGTTCAGCCATGTTTCTGTTATCAAAAGAATGAAGCAGTCCTTCATGATATTGTTCGTGGCAATCAGCAGTTGTAATTCGTCCTTTTTGTTGGCTAGTGATCTGGCGTTGGTGAGAAATACACTAGGAAGCAGTGATTTGCGTGGTTGTTTCTTTAGCCGAACTAGTAGACCTGACCGGCATCTGCGCTTTTGCTTCCTGTATCTCCTCCACCTTCGTCGCTTGCTAGAGCCGATAACAATCCATGGAGATCCCAGTGTCCTGGCTATCTCCTCCGGTATGTTGTGTAACTCCATAAATTCACTTGTAACTTCTTGATTACATCGAAAACCAATGTTTAAGGTCAAGTTTATTTATATAGCACCGTAAAAGCAACAAGTGCTGACCAAGGTGCTGCACAACCAAAACATCAGAAAAATCAACTAACAAAAGCATTAAGACATTTACATCGGTATTCCTTTTACATAGCAGTTAAAATATCTCTTGTAAATCTCAACTTATGATGTAATCAAATTAAATATAAAACCAAAGCTATTTGCCACTGCCAGGGCATATCTTTTATAGTTTGTTATAGAAAAACAAGTTATGCTCAGAGTCCAGAGCCTCGATCATAACATTATAACAGGCACCTTCCGAGTAGAGACCTGCACTATCGCGGGACCTAACGCAACAGAGTGCGGTGCGGGACAACACTTGATGGGCGAGTGCAGGTGCGGGCGGGTAGAGACTCGTGTGTGCGGGATGCGGGAGAATAAAAAGCTCTGTTCCCTTTAGATTTTAAAAGAAATTTTGGGAGGTATTTCTTTGGGAGGTTTAAGGTATCTAGTCGACTGTAACTGTGATTTGCCTGACTGATTTTATCAATTACGAGTAGACAAACAAACAAAAACACTAACGAAAAGCACCGAACATATATATATATATATATATATATATATATATGGAGAATAAGTACTCACACTAGGCAATCTTAACCGTGCCCGAGCGTGTTTGACCCACAAAGCCCGGTTCGTTTGACTAGTGCAGGGGTAGGCAAGTTCGGTCCTAGAGAGCCGCTGCTCTAGGACCGAACTTGCCTACCCCTGGACTAGTGTGATCGCTCCGGTTCGTTTAGCTGGCCCTGGCTCGGTTGGAAGAGGTGGGCCCGAGCGCGGTTCAGTTGGGCTCGGGCGCGGTACGCATGTAGTGTGGGAGCGCTGAACTTCTGATATGTGCAGCATGATTTACGATAACTTCACTATAACTGCACTATAGCTTAACAAAACGGCACTCCACTGTGCTGAGCGAGAGCGCTTCTCTGCTGTCTTCACGTAGCCTACTATCGGAAACTTCCTATTTCCCACTTATGAAGTCATGATTAGGAGCACGTTGCATTCTTATCTGTTAAAAATAACAGTGAACAGTGGTTTGTGAATGTTGATGCTTAGCCGAAATAATTTTCATGCGAGCGCTGCTGCAGTCTTAGGCCCTCCCCAAATGCTCTCATTGGTTGAATTTTATTATGCTTAAAATTATTTTATATTTTGTTTTTATTTTATACTAATTTGTTTAACAATATTTCAAATAAGACAATTTATATTTAATAAATATATATTTTATGGATATGTTTTATGGATTTTCTAGCCTTTTCATCAGTTAATTTAATTAGCTGTGAATGTGAAGTACATTCTTGGTTAGGTGGTTTTTAATTTTATTTTCACATCATTTTTTGTATTTTTTTTTTGTACAATTTTTTACATTTTTTTCTTTCATAGTTGAGCAAAGATATTTATACTTGGCATGACAATGATTTCACTGCCTCTGAATTTTTTTTATAATTTATCATTTTGAATTAAAATATATTTTAATGTAATTTTTAAAATGAAATGCATATTTTTTTATAAATCTAGAATTGTGTATTAAATATTGTCTATTGTTTTAAAATGTGCTTTTTATAATCTTTTTTAATTTTATATGTAGTATTGTATGTAATTATGCATATTATAATTATATGTAAATTATACATATAAATAAAACAAATGTAATATTTAAAATACGTAATATTTTTTAAAATAAAATATTAAATAGATGTATTATATTTTTACAATATTATACATTTTAAAAAATACATTTATATTTTATTTGTATGTATAATTTAGTTAGTATTTAATATTTTATATTATTTTTTTAAATTCAATTTATATTTTCTGAATAATTTAGCAGTAATATTTTGTATTATTTTAAAATATATATTTTTTTAAATCACTTAAAAAATTGCAGTAATAGCTGGAAATTACATTGTGAAATTATATTATATTATATAAGTATTATAATTTTACAGAAACTCCATAAATTCATAACACTTCTGCTGGATCATGATGACATAAGGTATTTCTGGAAAATAAGTCATGCTCAGTTAAAATTGCATTGTTGACAGAAAAAAAAAAAACTCAGATAAATCGCATTGCTGTATAATCACGTTTTATTATTACATTCAGAAATAATGTAAAATACCAGTAAATAAAATGAAGCCTTAACAAGCATTATAAACGTTTGTTTAAAAAAAAAAAATGCAACTTATTCTGGAAAATACAGTACAGTACATTTTGTCCGTTTTTTTCTACCCATTCTTTCTGATGCGATTACAAGTCATTCTATTACTACTAAATCTCATCTATATTAGCCAATCATTTTACCTGACGTCTTTGACAAGCTGAACTAACAAGCAATATCATAGAAAACCAAGTGTTTATGTATGTAAGACACAAAATGTATTTCTTACATAACGTATCGTCAGAAGCACTTCTATTCTTCAAATTCATCAGGATTTCTTTTATAGCAAACCAACCCGGGTCTGCATCAGTAGCTCTAATATGAAAATGGCCCTAAATATTCTCTGGATCGATCTTGAACTCACATTTTGACGGCCAGAGCTTCCGGTGTTAATCTGAGGGCAAATAAAGTGTTGAAATCTCTCGTCCTTGTTTGTACAGCGGAACGCCGGGATTCTTACAGTTCTCTGCAACTGTATTAAATGGAAGCAGATATAAGCAGGGGGCCTCTAATTGACTTTGATTGAGAAATATTATCCGGGTTGGTTTTTAATAAGAGCTTTTCCTGAGGCCATCTCAGCCGAGCAGTGATGAATGGTGGAGTTCAGCCATTGCTGTATAATCACGTTTTATTATTACATTCAGAAATAATGTAAAATACCAGTAAATAAAATGAAGCCTTAACAAGCATTATAAACGTTTGTTTAAAAAAAAAAAATGCAACTTATTCTGGAAAATACAGTACAGTACATTTTGTCCGTTTTTTTCTACCCATTCTTTCTGATGCGATTACAAGTCATTCTATTACTACTAAATCTCATCTATATTAGCCAATCATTTTACCTGACGTCTTTGATAAGCTGAACTAACAAGCAATATCATAGAAAACCAAGTGTTTATGTATGTAAGACACAAAATGTATTTCTTACATAACGTATTGTCAGAAGCACTTCTATTCTTCAAATTCATCAGGATTTCTTTTATAGCAAACCAACCCGGGTCTGCATCAGTAGCTCTAATATGAAAATGGCCCTAAATATTCTCTGGATCGATCTTGAACTCACATTTTGACGGCCAGAGCTTCCGGTGTTAATCTGAGGGCAAATAAAGTGTTGAAATCTCTCGTCCTTGTTTGTACAGCGGAACGCCGGGATTCTTACAGTTCTCTGCAACTGTATTAAATGGAAGCAGATATAAGCAGGGGGCCTCTAATTGACTTTGATTGAGAAATATTATCCGGGTTGGTTTTTAATAAGAGCTTTTCCTGAGGCCATCTCAGCCGAGCAGTGATGAATGGTGGAGTTCAGCAGGAAGACAGAGGGAGTAAATGTATATATTTTGTGTTTATTTCACATTATTTGTTTTAATTGTATTTTATATTTTAATTATTTAAAAATATAAGAAAGTTTATATTTGATAAATATATATTTTATGGATTTTCAAGGGCTGGAAGTGTAATCTTTTCTCCCTGTGGACAGACGGTCCAGCTGGTGGAGGAGAACTGTTTTGTAAGGGCCGCTCTCGTGATTGGCAGCTCTTTAACGAACGGCTCTCCATCATCATGACCTTGAGGGACGACCTTTGGGTCTCTCTTCATATTCATATTTCTCACTTAAAGTAACAGCAGTGTTGTTACTTTTTTAGATTCTCTGACTGCACTGATTTATACGTTTTTATTATTACTAATAATTTTTATGTAAATATTTTGTTTGGCGTAGGCATTAGAGTTATGGTATTGTGTTCTAATATTTTTCTGGCAGTATTCACTCTCTCTCTCTCTCTCTATACATACATACATACATACACACTGTACACACAATATAATATAATTTTAATGTTTATAATAATTGTATATATTTTGTTTATTTTACATTCATTTGTTTTAATTGAATTTTATATTTTAATGTTTTATTTTTAAATAATTAAACACATTATAAGACGGTTTATATTTAATAAATATAGTTTATGGATGTTCAATAACTATGAATGGGAATCATGACATTATTGGTTAGGTGATTCTTAATTTAATTTAATTTAATTTTATTTTATTTTACATACAATATTAAAATTTTTCTGTATTTTATAATTATATATTTTTTTGTAAAATTATTTGATAAATATATAAAACAAAACTATTAAAAACAATTTTTTTTTTCTTTTCTGCCCTTTTCATCAGTTTTATCTGTGGTTGTTAGTCGTGAATTTAGTTGATCACTTTTGTTGTATTTGCAGTATCTGCAATTTATACATTTATATTTATATATTCATAAATAACTGACGTTTTCCAGATTAAATGTTTGCATCAAACTGTTTAAGAACAATTCTTGTCCATATTTTCCTTATTTGCTAAATATGGTTTTTGAATTTAGTTTTTTATTTTACTAAAACATTTTAAAACTGGTCAGATGCCCCACAGATATTTCTGTGAACACTTTTGAGTGATGACCGAAATATTTCATTGAATCACTTTGAACAAATTCACTGAAACTGGCAGTTTATAGGAACTGACTCACAGAAATTAATCCAATTTCTGAGCCTGAAACTAGTCCAACAGTACAGTCTTGAAAAAAACCGTCAAATAAAAATACTTCAAATATAATGCTGGTTAATTTTATATTGTCAATAAAATATTAAATATATTGTAAATATTCAGTATATATGTTCGCTCTGCACTGAGTTTGGTGTGTGTTTCTCTACAGGATGGCCTCCCGCTCCACTGTAACTTCATTCCCTTGGATATCAGACTGCAGAATTGGGAGGAACTGCCAGCAGAATTCAATCACAGCGAGAACAGGAGTCAGGTGTGTGTGTGTGTGTGTGTGTGTGTGTGAGAGAGAGAGTGAGAGAGTGATATTCAAGTACTGTTTCATCAGATTTCTTGAAACGTATCTGTGTGTGTGTGTCTGTCTGTCTGTCTGTCTGTCTGTGTCTGTCAGGTTGTGCGATTCATGCGCGAGTGGATCTCTCTGACTGCGATGAGGCAGAGGATGGTGAGGAAGAGTGGAAGAGTGTTTCACAGCCCTATCCTGCTGCTAGAGGAGCTCAGTCAATCCCAGCGCCGGCACAGCAGCACCTCCAGGCAAGAAACACACACACACACAATTAAAGCTGGAGAGCTCTGGGACGTGTGGGCGGATCTGAATCTCATTGGCTCAGATGTGGGTGTCAATCAAATTAAGTGTGGTTTTGTTTGTTTTTGTTTTCCCTCCACACTCAAAATGTTAAACTTAAAGTCATTGGACCTTTATTTTATTTTAATTATACATTTTATTTAGTTTAACGTTTAATTAGATATACATTATATGTTATATTATAATTTAGTTTATAGTTTATTTTCACATTTTTGTATTTTTAATCCATTTCTGAAATATATACACTACTGTTCAAAAGTTTGGGGTTGGTATACATTTTTTATATTTATAAGTTTTATGTTTACCAAGGTTGCACTTATTTGATCAAAAAACTGTAAAGTTGTAAAATATTAATGCAATTTAAAATAACTGTTTTATATTTGAATGTTTTAAAATTAAATTTATTCCTGTGATGCAAAGCTGAATTTTCAGCTTCATTACTTCAGTTTTCAGTGTCACATGATCCTTCAGAAATCATTCCAATATGCTGATAATAATATTTTTGTAGAAACCATTATACATTTTTTTCAGGGTTCTTTGATAATTCGAAAGTTCAAAAGAACAGCATTTATTTGAAATAAAAAATCTTATGTAAAATTGTCTCTTAATTTAATGCATCCTTGAAGAAAAATGTGAATTTCTTTCAAAATAAATTTCACTGACCTAAACTATTGAAAAGTAGTGTATATTTATGTATTTTTTTAAAGTTATATTTTTTTTAATTAATAAATTTTTAATTGTATATTTTTTTATTTCATATTTCTTGTATTTTTTAAACATATATTCTTATATTTTTGTATTTTAATCATTAAAAAAATAAAATATAAAATAAAGGTTTTTTTTTTTTTTTCAACCAGTTCTTCAGTCTTATTCATGTGGGTTTTAATTTATTTTTTAATTTGATTTTTTTGTCTATTTCTGCAATTTCTTTTAGTTTATTTCTGCAAAAGTTTCACCTGAGGCTATGAATAATGTGAGATTATTGGTGAGGTAGTTTTTAATTTTGTAAGTATTATTCGAGGATTTTCCGACGCATTACAAGCATCAGTTTGCTGTTCTGTTACACAAACATCAGCTGTGTGTGTGTGTGTGTGTGTGTGTGTGTGTGTGCGTGTGTCAGATACTGTACAGC